TAAAAACAGGAAACACCAGGCTATGAGAGTTTCACTAGGAATCTTACAAAGAAAGATAAAATATCTGCTTTATACAAATCCTCCTCACATGACCTCAAGAGTCAGTCATTGTATACTGTGTGACTCACTGCATCACACTACAGCTTCCATATGAGATTTTCTTCTAAATTTTCTGTTTTATCTTGGGTGGGGTGTTGCAAGGGCAGAAGGTGGAAGCAAAGGGATGGGGATATGAGTGGGCTTGAGATGCCTGATGTCAAGGCCACAAAGAATAAATAACGAGTTAAAAATGCCAGCAAGTTATTTTGTGCATAGCAAATACCAGTTGTTTCTAAAGCATACATAGAAAGACAAAGACCTGAAATAAGAAAACACAAAAACAAAGAACAACAAACTTAAACACTTGTTATAAAGCTACACAAATCAAGAGAGTATGGCATTGTTAAAATGCATAACATCAGATAAGAATGGACTTGAACAAATATAGTTAGTGATCTTTCACACACAAAAACCAAGGTATTTAAAGAAAGCAAGCACAGGACTTTTCAAAAACATTGTGTTGGACCAATTTGACATTTACATTTTAAAAGAATCTATACACATAGCTTAAAAACTTCACAAAAATAACTGAAAATTTATCATAGACGTAAATATATAATGTAGAAATATGAAACTTCCAGGAGGTGTCATTATCATATTTCATTAGTAATGGGAAGCAATGCCATGATTTCTCTGTTAGTACCTTTAGCGCAGCTAGGATACACTGTGTGTCACTAATTACTCTAGCAGTATTTTAGAGATCTGCTCTAAAATGTTTTTGCTTTGTTTTGTTTTTTTAAGGTGGAATGACCAGACACCAATCAGAACCAGAAGTAGAGTTTAGCAGAGTCATCCACACAGGGCTGGTTTTGAGGTACCGAAGATACATATTGAAAGGCTCATGGTTGGAGACTTACACCAGCTGAAGCCAGGCAATATGTGATAGCTTTAGAGTTCCTGCTACCCAAACCTTCTGGAACACAGACGATTCTATGATGAGCCTGAGTCACCAGACATGGAACTAAAAAATCTGGTGTTTGCTCTATTCCTTGCTATGCTCAATTCTTTCCTTTTAGGATGGGAATGTTCATTCTGCGCTATCATATGTTGGGAGCATGTTTTTTGGTTTTTTTATTTTTATTTTGTAAGAGTTAAGAGTTTGTCTTGAGCCGGGCGGTGGTAGCGCACGCCTTTAATCCCAGCACTCGGGAGGCAGAGCCAGGCGGATCTCTGTGAGTTAGAGGCCAGCCTGGGCTACCAAGTGAGTTCCAGGAGAGGCGCAAAGCTACACAGAGAAACCCTGTCTCGAAAAACCAAAAAAAAAAAAAGAGTTTGTCTTGAATCTCAGGTGAGACTTGGGCTTTTTATTAATTTTTATGACTTTTTTTGTGTGCATGTGTGCATGTCCACATACATAAGGCATGTGGGTGAAGGCCAGAGAATAAATTGTGGGAGTGGGTTCTCTCCCTCCACTATGTGGGTCCTGGGGTTCAAATTCAGCTTGTCAGGCTTGGAAAAAGGTGTCTTTAAACAGGTGTCCACCAAACCATCTTATCAGCACCAGGCCTTAGACTTTTAACAAGTGTTAGAAGTATTAAAGACTATGGAGACTTTTGAAGTTCAACTGAATGCATTTTGTATCACATTATGGCCATGAGATTATAGGCACAAGGGGTGGAAGGTTATAGCTTAAAGTGTGTGTGTGTGTGTGTGTGTGTGTGTGTGTGTGTGTGTGTGTGTGTGTGTGAAGTTGACAAGGAGTTCAGTGTAATTGTTAATAATACTCATCAACTTGGAAGAACCTACAATCACAAGTCTCTAGGCATGCTTGTGACATCTTATCTAAATAAATTAGGATTGCCTCTGGCCATGCCTAAGAGGGATTATCTTGGTTAACTGAGGTAGAAAGACCTGCCTACTATGGGGACACCATTCCATGGGCTGGGGTCCTAGACTGTGTAACAAAAAGAAAGTGAGCTGATGCCAAGAATTCATCTGGCTATGTTTCCTGACTGCTGATACAATGAAATCAGCTGCCTGAAACTCCTGCTGCCATTATGCCCCAGTCATGAAGGAAAGTATCCCGGAACTACGATCCCAAATAAACTTTTCCTTAACTTGCTTTTGTCAGGGTAGTTTCCAAAAGCAATGAGATCAGTAACAAATGCAAGGTTTGAAAGGAAGGGTCAAGGCCAAGTGGCCCAATACCTGCCTTTGTATACTCCCCACAGCACTCAAGGCCACTCACAGTAACCTCTCTTAAATCATTTCTCCCATTCATTTTTCAATTTGAAACATTGTATGTTGGCATTTCCTTTTCTACCCTCTTATTGAACCACTGCTCAAAAACTCTTTTTAGTCTGGACTACCTCCACAATCCATTCCTACACATACCTTCTACTTACCCATTAACAGACAGCTGAGGAAGTAACTTAGAAAGCCTGCCTTTCTGATAACATTCACCACACTATAATGGATTTTTTTCTTAATGTGTTTATCTGTCTCTCCCACTATACTGTATGTGCTTAGAGGACAAGAGCATTATTTCTGATTTTTTTCCTCTAATTCATTGTGCAATAGGTTTTTAATAATATCTGCTCAATGTACAGTGTCAGTAAGGTATGCTTGAAGAGTAAGCGAGTGAAAGTGGGGAAATTCTCTTTTTTATTATAAAATATACCAAAGTAAAATATAGTAAGATAAAACAAAAACTATCATATTGAAGTTGTGTAGCTGGAATGTTTCCCTCCGGGTCCCACAGCCCACTTATAAAATAATCACTCAGATGCTTATATTAATTAAACCATTCAGCCATTAGCTCAGGCCTACCACTGTCTAGCTCTTACACTTAAACTCAGCCCATTTCTATTAATCTATAAGTTGCCATGTGGCTTGTGGTAGATCTATTAATCTGTAAGTTGCCATGTGGCTTGTGGCTTACAAGTATCTTAACATCTGCTTCTTCTTTTTTTTTTGGTTTTTCGAGACAGGGTTTCTCTGTGCAGCTTTGCACCTTTCCTGGAACTCGCTCTGTAGCCCAGGCTGGCCTCGAACTCACAGAGATCCGCCTGGCTCTGCCTCCCGAGTGCTGGGATTAAAGGCGTGTGCCACCACCACCCGGCAACATCTGCTTCTTATCGTGGTGGCTGGCAGTGTCTCTCTGCCTCAGCCTTCCACCTCCCAGAATTCTCCTCCTCCTTGTCCCACCTATACTATCCTTCTTGCCTGGTTACTGGCCAATTAGCATTTTATTTATCAATCAATCAGAGCAACATATATTTACAGCATACAGGACATTCCACAGCAAAGTTGAATAGGACAAACAAATAGAATGAAAAGAGCCCAGGAGAAGGTACAAGAATCAGAGCTACTCATTCACACACTCAGGAGTCCCATAAAACACTAAACTGGAAGCCATGATATATGCAGAGGACCTGGTGCAGACCCGTGCAGGCCCTGTGCATGCTGCCTCAGTCTCTGTGAGCTCATATGAGCTTTGCTCATGTTGACTCAAAGGGTCTTGTTCTCCTGGTGTCCTCCGTCCCCTCTTGCTCTTACACTCTTGAATTAAGGTGATTTTCAATCTACATATTCTTTGATTTGAGTCTGTACTACCATCTTCATAGCTTTGGGGCCATGCCTTTAATCCTAGCACTCGAGAGGCAGAGCCAGGCAGATCTCTGTGAGTTCGAGGCTAGCCTGGTCTACAGAGCAAGATCCAGGACAGGCACCAAAACTACACAGAGAAACCCTGTCTCAAAAAAACCAAAAAAAAAAAAAAAAAAAAAAGACAAGACATGACAGTAGAATGGGGGTTATTGGGAAAGAAGGCAGCAACCAATGTGAGAGGGAATGAATATGATTAAAATCTATTATATGCACATATGTCACAATAAAAGCCATATTTTGTATAATTAATACCTTCTAATAAAAATCTGGAAGAAAAAAAAACCAATACAGATGTCATTAAATGTTGAAATGACAGAATTAAGAATGTAAACCCCCAAATCAGAATTCTTGGCTACAATGAGCCTCCACACTAACAATGGATTGGTTCTCTCAGATTTTCTGTTTTTGCTGTTTTGAGGGTTTTTCTTTTTTCGTTTGTTTTTTGTTTTGCCATTCATACATACTGTGTCCCAGCCTGCAGCTTTCTTTTGGGGGGGGGGGGTGTATCTACATTTGCACTAGACTAATTAGATTCAAATTGTTCACCTTAACTGTGAGGAAACACTTGAGGAAAAGCCTCTAATTATATCAGCTTTTCTCCATTTGGCATGGAGAACATTTCCTAAATTTTAGCATATAAGAAACGTAAAAATAAGTCCAATAAAAACTTTTAAGATCATCAAACCTTCGTGAAATTAGTACAGAAATAACACATGAAATAACTCCAGTTCCTTTTGTATTAAATATTTCAAATATGTTCTTGTATTTCTTCCCTGCTATACTGAGATATAATGTATTTTTCCTTTTTCCATATACAATTATATACGTATGCAATTACTGAGAACTACAAGAGCTTGTACACCATTTCCATGGGCACTGGGAAGGATTTACATGAATGAGAATGGAAAATCTAGGTATTTGATGCCAACACAAAAGCTTGTCAGGTCTATGAAAATTTAGAAAAGTGGGGCTGGCTGCAGATACACTGCACCAACACGTTGCACCAGACAGTGTAATTTTAACAGCAAGGAAAGCACCTTGGCCTCCTTTTCAACAAGTGACTAATCTTTGCAGTTCAAAGAAGCAAAGTGCTCAAGTAAGTTTTTAGGACTTGAGCTTCCCCTCCCCTCTCCCCTCAAATCCCTTCAGGGTCAAGACTGTAAGTTTTGCTTTTATGACTAAGGAAGCCAGGAGTGGGGGGTAGGGTGGGACAGAATAAGGAAGACAACCACTGCCAAATCGCACAGTTAAGGGAGAATCTCTGCTTTCTCCCCGCCCCCACCCCCAGCTACCTGGTCTTTGGCCCCAAGAGAACACAGCCGCCTGGGTTCCATGCTGAGGTCTGGAGCCTTTCAGAAGCTGTGGAGCCTTTTGCAAAGCGCTGCCCCCCGCGCTCCCCCTCCCCCCCGGGAAGGGATGCTGCACTAAAGAGGCCAGGCGCGCGGATGAATGCGCGCGGATGAACAGCTACTTGCGCCTCCGGCAGCCGGCCTTTGCACGAGGTGTTCTTGCCAATGAGCTAGCCCCGGGCACGCAGCGCAAGCTCTGGGAGGCGCTCAGGCAGCGCCAGGCCTCATCCCCTAGGGCTCTTCCGCCAAGTTCCTGCGGAATGGCTCGCGTAGGGGGCCATAGTGCAGCGCTGCGACCAAGGCGCGGTTCAAGGTGGAGGGGCTGTGCCCCTGCAGGCTTGCCAGTGTAGGATTACAGCTGAGGATCCTGCAGAAAGAGGCAGCGCCTGCACCCGCACTTCGCAACCTCCGCCCTCCTGCTCTGCACGGCATGGAGAGCATCACCGCACACAACTGGCTTAGGCAGCAGGTGTGATGGCTCTGATTCTCTTTACTGCTCCGCGCTGCCTGGACCACAGGACATTTTCCTGAAGGTAAAGTCCACGGACAAGTGGACTCACTCTCTTGCTTATCCACTTTTAGCCTCCAGTGATTTTGCACATTTAGCATTTAAATGTTCAGTGTTATGTCTTTTGAAGTGGTTTAACCTGCAATCTCAGTTCTTTGATGCGTTTTTTTAAAAAACCATTTGTCACGTTTGCCCAGAGTTGCCTTCTAGGAAGGCAGCGTTTGCTTGTGTGCTTGCGCGCGCGTGCGTGGATTTTCAACTTCTTTACTTGAGGGAGCTGAAACCAGAAGTGGCCATTTTTACAGTATGATACAGTCAGTCTAAGTCTGTGGTTTGGAAATGCATGATAAACAAACAGCTGAGAAAACTGGGAGGGGAGAGTTTAAAGGAGTTGCAGAGATTGTGGGAAGGCTATGGATTTAGAATCAAATGATTTTGTTTATTTAAAGGTTTTATTACTGTTTAGTTTTTAAAATCATGTAAGCAATTTTGAGAAAATAAAGGATAAGTGTTTCAATTTCTGTAGAAATAATCTGTAAAAGTTTTACATAGAAAATATGTACAAATTCTAACATCATGGTCATGCTAGGTTAGAAACAGGGAAGTTGGCCTTTCAACAATGTCAAAATTCGATGGATAACAAAATTTAAAAAATATGTCAAGTTAATTGGCTTTAGTTACTAAGGACTAGTGATTTCAATCTATAGTTGTAGGCATATTTTCAGATCACACATTGTAATTCACACAATGAAATTGTGCATGTATATGTATATATATACATGGATGTGTATATGTGCTACAGAATGGCTAAGAAAAGGCTAAAGAGCAGTATTGAAGACAGGCAGAGAGCTTTATTAATAAAGGGTAAGGAAAAATGTCTTTAGGTGCCAGGTAAGAAGTTTTAGGAACAAATTGCATGATAGTGTGTTCTGGGCGCAGAATTGTCCGATTCCAGTGGCAGGCCAGTTTGAATGTCAATTAGAAATGGGCTGTATGTCAATGGCAGGAGAAACTGCACTTGATCTGGAGACTTGGATGGAGGTCCTTTGCTGTGGCAGTTTTTCTGGCTGGGGCCCATGGCTAGTGACCAGTTGATAGGTCTGTGTAAGTGCCATGGCCTTGCACGGGCGTGCTCCTTCTTAGGCAATGCAAATGGACTATATTATTTGTTGGTCTTGTGTGTTTGATAGGCTCTGGAGGCTGATGTTGCTGATATGGTTTTGCTATGTCTGTCTGTCCATGTGTTCCTGACTTGACTTGATGGGTTCACAGGTAGTTATAACTTACTTATACAAATAAGTTAATTATCAGACTGTACCTTATGATTTGTGCTGGGCAGATGAATATCATTTAATTGCATAAAGGAGATGAAGAGTCATTCTACTTTGACATTTGACCTCACAGTTGAGCAAACTATTGTTTTATAAAATAAAATTCCCCAGGGCAAGGCACGGCCTGAAAGTTAGCTTAAAATATAATGTGGAATAACTTAGCTCAGGGCACCACCTGATCTCCAACAAGTAAGGGCATTTTTAATAGATTTAAATAAATGTTCCAACATATATACAGTTAATACCTCTCATTTGTGGATTTTAACCAATATTTATAAAACAGAATCTGTTTTACTCTAATCCCATTATATTTGCACATTAATTGACTTAATGTATAGGATTACTGGGTTATAGAAAATGCATAAGTTCTGCTTAAATACATATGGCCAAATAGTTTTTGAAAGTAGAGGTACCAGCATACATTGTCAAAGTTTTAGTTCCTCTAATACCCTCTTTCATGCTCGAGGATGGTAGTCACTTTGGGTTTTCCTTATAGATGCTTACTGCTACCTCACTATGATTTTAATTTGTAGCAGAAGTTTTGAGCCAAATTTTATTTACAAGTCCATTGAATATCATATTTTGTGAAGTATCTGTTGGAATTATTGTGCTAATGTTTAACTCCATTCTTCTCGTGTTCTTTGTTTATTGTGTGTGCTTGGTCAATGCTTTTCTTAATCATTAATGATATTGTGTCCTATCTAATGTTTCAGATATTTTATTTTGTGGAATTTATTTTTGTGTATGGCTTGGGTTAGAGGCCACATTTATGCTTTCTCTATGGCTTGCTGACCAATCGGTCCCGCTCTGCTGACTTATGGTCTCCTCCCTCCCAGGCGTGGTACTGCTGGTTTTGCGGTGGGCTGATGCCCTAGATGTGTCTTGTTTGTGAATTCTGTTTTTTCCCTGTGTTCTTTGGTTTGTCTATTTCTATGGTTTTATCTGAATAAAAAAATACCTGTCTTTATTCCTGTAAAAAAAAAAACCTATTTGTATACACAAATTACAGTAAAAGTCCTTCAGATTTCTTATTCTGGGATGACTTTAGCTGATCTTGAGTTTTTGATAGACATGTATATTTTAGAATAAGTTTCCCAATTTCTGCTGACAAACAGTCTCTTGAGGTTTTTATTGTGTGTGAGTCCATTGAGCTGTATATAATTCTGGTGAGAATTTTTCTTTAAATTTTGTGATATCATTCTTCTCATCAGCAGTCATCAGGTAATGAAAGTGTGAGTGACAGACAGCCCTATATTGTTGATACACTGAATTGTGGGGGTTGGGAAAAATTTAATGGCATAGAGTACTACATAATAAAGAAAAGTTAATTCAATATCAAACACATAATGAGTTTGAGGTATTTTTGGCAGAGTTCACCTGTGTAGCATCACACAACTTCCTTTTAGCCTTGGTTCCAAACATAGCAGGCATATACTTTGCATCACATAGTGGGATCATTGGTACCTGGAAGACCTCAACTCAGACTGTTGTTTGTTATGGATTGTAGTGCTTTCACAATACACACAAAGATTTCTACTCTCACAGAAACATTACTGTTTAATTATTTTAAAAGTTAAACATTTAATATTTTTATAGTTATTTTTCAGAGTATCTCGTGTTAGCCTATCTTTGGATTTTATAAATTTGATTTTATAAATTACCTTTTGAGTTGCTGTCCTGAGTTTCATAAAAGGTACAATGAATATTTGCTTGGAATCGTGACAGAATTTCTAATGACTTTTGAAATGGCTCTAGACATACTCCTAATATTTTCTATTATTGCATATTTGTGCTACATTTTATATAAAGCAACATTCTAGGCATTGACAATCATAAAATATTGATAAACTCTGGAAACCTTTGAAGATGCTCTATATCTTGAAATATCGACTATTCAGTGAAGAATTAATTCTTTGTGCAGAAATGAATAGTGCCACCCATCCCATTAGTTTAAAGGTTTACAATCATCTTTAGTAAATGACAAAATTATATGTATACTATAGAACTATTTAAAATAGATTTCTTTATGGTTTATTATATTAGCAATTGTTTTATTTGTGTGCCTATTTCATATACCTTCATACCCAGGACTCCATAAAATTTTTGGGGGGCTGAGCAGGGGCCATAAACAGAAAAGGTTTGAAAATACTGTTCCAACCCACAGTTAACCATGCTGTGCCTCAGATTAATGGTGGTTTTCTTTAATTTCTTTTAGAATTGATATAGTAATTTCTGAGCAAGCATCTTGTGAGTTTTTATTGTTTGGTCATAGGTGCTTGATACTTTCTCAAGTTACAAGAAATGGCATTTCAAATTTTCCTTTTCATAATTTCTGATACTAGTATAGAGAAATATAATTTGGTTTTATAATATTGACTTTATAGCTAGTGAGTATGTTAAATTAATTTATTAATTGTAATATTTGATATGGGCATTCTTGACATTTTTTACAAATACTTTATTGCATTTCTTTTTTAAGTTGGGAAATCTTGTTCCAAATACCTGAAAAAATGTATGTCTTAGTCAGTCTTCTATTGCTGTGAAGAGATACCATGACCATGGCAATTCTTTTAAAGGGAAGCATTTAATTAGGGTTTGCTTAAGGTTTTAGAGGTTCATTATCAGAATGGTGGGAAGCATAGCAGCACACAGACAGACATGATGCTGGAGGAGCTGAGAGTTCTATATCCAGATCCCCAGGCAGCAGGAAGAGAGAGCCACTGGACCCAGTTTAGGCTTTTGAAAACCCAAAGCCCACATCCAGAGACACGCTTCCTCCAGCAAGGCCACACCTCCTATTCCCTGTCTAGTAGTGCCACTCCCTAACAACCAAGCACCAAGCAAGCACACACACACACACACACACACACACACACACACACACACACACACACACAAAACCACACACAATTCCACATATATGGAATAGCTTTCTCTGCTATTTTAAAATCTGTACTAAATGATGCCAGGACTTTCCTAATTTGATTTCTCACTATTTTAATATTTTACTTGGCACTGCATTTTTTTCATATGCTATATTTTTCTTTCATGTATTAGGTATTTTCTGTTTCATTCTGTTTTGGATCATTATATTCTATTCAATTTGTGACCTATTCAGTTGTCCGTATCATACTGTTCAAGTATGAGTCTCATTCCCTATTTCATTCTATTTTGCACTTACTCTCCATTTCATTGCATTCTACTTTCTATTTCAGACCCACTTGCCATTCCCCCTTATTTAACACACCAAATACCAGTCTATTTTTATATTCCAGTCCAGTTGCTCATCCATTCTGTTAAGTGTCCCATTTGCTTTTGCTAAAATTATAAATGTGCACAGGCTTATACAAGAATGTCTTCCTCTGAGAAGTAATCCACAATAAAGACACATTTGACTGGGCAATCTTCAATGAGCACACTAATGTGTGTCTCACATTGATGTGAAAAAATAGAAAGAGCATAAATATTGGTCAGTACAAGAATGTTTGAAAACATATGTTTCCTCCCCAAAAGGAGGGTGTGTTAGTTGCAAAACAGTTTTGTGGGTACTTTGTTGTTTTGAGATAGGGTCTCAGCTTGCAGCCCAGGGTGACCTTTGAATTGAAATCCTGCTCTCACCCTTCCCTAGTGATACAATCACAGGTGTGAGATACCACACCTGTCTCCTTGTCAGTATGTATTCATTGACATGAAAAATGTATTTTCTGGACCCCTCCAAACAAGTTACAAAATAGTACTTCTGCTTGAATCATTCTATTTTCCTAAAACTAGGAAATATGGATGGATGGCCATTTTATGAAGATATAATTTAACTTTCCCAGTATTTGACTGTAGGCATGAGAAAATTTAGTTGCAGCTTTTTTTGGGGTTTTTTTTGTTTTATTTTTTTCAAGACAGGGTTTCTTTGTATAACCCTGGCTGCCCTGTAACTAGCTCTGTAGCCCAGGCTGGCCTTGAACTCACAGAGATATGCCTGCCTCTGCCTCCTGAGTGCTAGGATTAAAGGCTTTCACCTGGTTGCTGATTTTGGTAGATTTGCTTTTCTGTTTGAGGATACCCAAAACAACAGCCCTTTTTTTTATAATCAAAAATGTGTGTAAGTATTAAATTTAAAAGGTCTGTGCCGACAGTAAAGTAGAAAAAAAAAAAACCTAGAAGATGAGCCCGAGTCAATTAATTCATCAGCTGAATCTTAAGCAGCCTGGCCTGTGTTTCAGGGCAAGACAGGGGGAAGTGGTGTACTGGAAAATTGTAAAGCCAGTCTGGTGTTTGGGACCTGACATTCCTTGCTGAACATTTCAAACCCAAGATAATGTGGACGTCATCATCCCCCTTGAAATCCTTAGGCCCCTCAGCAAACTTAAAACCCTAGCCAGGTCACCTGGTGGCTTAAAGGAAAGCAGTGAGTCATGCATGGCCTAGGAGATAGAGCTTATTGGTCAGTGTGTAGGAAATTGTTAAAGTGATCCCAAGACCGACTCACTCGTTTGAGGTGTTGCATATAATTCATGTAGATGTTCCCACCCCAAACATTCTCAGGCCGGGGTGGGGACCTTGTGAAATTTAGACTTTTGACTCCTGAAAGCGTGATTGGGGGAGACGGGGGCTAAGAGCACACCAGAAACCACTAGAAGCTACCCTGGCCTCCAGTGTCCTAGTAGGGGACAGGTGAAGGGCGGTTCAACCCAAGTTAAATTTGCATAACGTACAGGTAGCCAATCAGAGGCTAGAATTGAGCTAGCTCCACCCACTGGCCTCCTCTCGCAGCTCTAAGTCTACCTTGCTTCCTAACTAGCTGAGCAGAAGCCTTCTTTCTGATTGAGTGAGGCAGGAGGCAGGAAACCCTTTCTCGTGGTCAAGAAGCTGGTAAGCCCATTGATTTGGCCACCTAGTCACCCTCAGCGAAGGAGAGGCACCACTAGGGCTACGTGTCAGGGTAGCCTAGGCCACCTAGGAACACCTGGGATTCCTGCAGTAAAGAGCCTGTTGCCTCAGGGCTAGAGGTGGTGCCTCTGTGACAGACAGACGACATTCTCAGCCTCGCAGCCAAAATGTCGACTGGTAAGAATCCGGGGACACCTCGTGGACCTCGTGGGCCTGAGCCTGAGAATCGGCGCGGCAACCTCCAGGGTGGCTGTGATCCTGACAGCCCAGGGACAGAACTTCGACCTGTAAGGCCCAGGACAAGGAGCCAGGGAGGGGTGGACCAGTCCTCAGAAGCGGTCACCCCCAGCAGGAACCAGCAGCAAGGTAGTCGGGGTGAGCAGCCCAGCCGAGGAGATCTAGCTACTGGATGTTCAGGTGAGCTTCAGCTTCTGGAAGCTACAGGGTGGCCTTCTACGTCTCAGCCATCCTATTTTCTGAACTTTCACCATTTTGAACTTCCTGTACAGAGCCAGGAATTCCTAGGCCCTGCCCTCAGGAGCACCGCCACCATGTCACATCATGTGGCTACTCCGGCTCCTAGGGCCAGCAGCCAAGCTTTTCTGCCTGTCTTTGGTCGTCAACAGACTGATATAATACAGTTCAGCTTTGATAGCAGCGGCCCCTTCATTCCTGTTGGCCAGGGTTTCCATGAACAGGCCACTGTGCAGGTTCCTGATTTCTGTGCATTTTTCACCCCTAATCCCATAGGCGACATTGGAGGCAGGGTTCTCCGCTCACATGCCGCTGCATCTGGTCATCGCAGCAGTGCCTCGGAGGTTAGCCCTGAAGTTGGCCTCGCTGGCCACAGAGGCCGAAATTTACGCCGTCGAGCCACTTCACCGGACAGCGCTGCTCTGGGGAACGTTCCTGATACTACGAGCACCCCTGCAACACCACGCAGAGGCCGCGGTGCGTCCAGATCCAGCCGCGGTGCGTCCAGATCCAGCCGTGGTGCGTCCAGGTCCAGCCGCAGTGCGTCCAGGTCCAGCCGCAGCCAGCCGCAGCCAGGAGCAAACCCTTCCACCTCTGGGAATGAATTTCTGAAGAGAACCCTACCGGCAACCTCGAGCTCTCCTTCAAGGCGCCCAGTCCGTATGCGGGCCTCTTCCCCTTCCCCTCCTCGTTGGCCATATCCTTACCGTAGTCAGCATGAAAGTTCCGACTCTTCCTCCTCCTCCTCCTCATTATCTCTTGACTCATCCAGTGATTCAAGTGCCCCCTCTTCCCCATGCAAGTAGGTCACTTGACCGAAACTCCTGCTCCTGTCCATTTAGTACCATGAGCTCTATCTACCTCTGTGCCTAGCCGCGGTACTCTTTGGTGTGCCTTGATTCCTGACCTGGATAACCTGGATTCTTCCACTTTTGGAGAGTTACAGGAAAAAGCAAAGAATCCCCTTCACTCTCCATAGGAGGAAGTAGGGTATGCCCCTCACTCCCCTACTCCACCGGTGCTGTGACTGTTGTGAGTGTCCTCCCAGACTCACAAAAGGAATCAGCACCTGTCCACTGTTTCCTGTATGTGAGGTTTCTAGGATTTCTCCCGATTCACCATTATCCGGAGCAGTTTTGAAGCCCCCTGGCCCTAGCTAACCCCCACTTAATAAGACACTTCATTCTATTCCCTGCTTCCTTAGCCTGGTTTTTATTGTTGTTGGGTTTTTTTTTTTTTTTTTTTTTGCTTTTTTTGCTTTCCCCGTTGCTTTATGTAATCAAATATTTTAATAAAAGCATGAAGTTTTATTTTAAAAATTTAGTCTCTTTATTGTGGTGCAATTACTTTTAGGATTTCATACCTGGAGGATTAAGGAGTGTCATTATCATGCTTGCTGACTCTTTGGAAGGAATGAGGGATAAAATACTGACCTAGAACTGTCTGAGATGGAGCTCTGCCCCAAACGTTACTACTTAAGGCCATTTGTATAGCTTCTTAGCATAGGTGATTTGTAACTTGGAAAAGGAAAAAAAAACTATGAAGAGTCAGAAAAAGGCAGAGTGGGCATAATCTCAGGTGGGGAGGGAAAAATGGGAAGTGGGGGCTGGGAAGAAGACTGGTAAGGAGGAAAGAATAGCTGGGGTCCGGTCCAGTGCCTGAGGATAAGGGGACTCAATTTTGATAGTAGAATACTGTTTATGTGTTGGAAGTTGGTAGGGAGAGGAGAAAAAGAGGGGTGGACCTTCTGAAGGCTGAGATGAGACTTGGTCATAGATGGGCAATGTAAGGTTAATGAGATTCACGTGGCATGGTTTTATCAAATATTTGAATGTGTGTTGATGAAAAATCAATTGTGAAAAATGTTTGTATATCCGAGACGCAGACATTGGGAGAGAAATGCATGAATAGTGTGCTTCCTAAATAATTGGGATGATATGGTCTTCAGTGTTTTACATTTTTCACTTTGACCATATAACTACTGTAACAGAAATGAGCAGTTCAAAAACTTAAGCTGGAAGCATAGCAAGAGATGAGAGAGTTAAAATGTAAATGAGGCCAGGAAAATACCTCCTCTCATTTCTCTCTTTCTGGTTATAATGACCAATGTGACCACAGACCCTCGCTTAGTCCTGCCCCTTCATATTTTAAAAAGTATTTTTTTTTTTTGAAACAGGGCTTCTCCGTATAGCCTTGGCTGTCCTAGAACTTGTTCTGTAGGAACTCAGAGATCCTCTGCCTTCTGAGTGCTGGGATTAAAGGTGGAATTAAATGCGTGAGCCACTACAGCCTGGCTGAAAGTAATTCTTAAGAAGCCCTATTAATGTTTAAGATCTGACGTTTCGACAGGATAACCCACAGACAGCTGATCTGAGTTCATGGGAGCTCACCAACTGTGGACTGACTGCTAAGGAGCCTGACTGGGACAGACCTAGGCCTTTTGCATGTGTGTGACAGTTGTGTAGCTTGGTCTGTTTGTGGGGCTTCTAGCAGTGGGATAAGGACCTGTCCCTGGCGCTTGAGCTGGCTTTGGGGAACCTATTCTCCATGCTAGGTTGCATCGCCCAGCCTTGATGCAGGGGGAGGAGCTTGGTCCTGCCTCAGCTTGGTTTACTGTGCTTTGTTGACTCCCATGGGAGGCGTTACCTTTAGGAATTGAGACAGAGGAGTGGATAGGGGCAGGTATGTGGGAGGGGGATGGAACGGAAGGAGAGGAGGAAGGAGAAACTGATCGATCGGCAAGTAAAATAAATGAAAAAAATTCAAAAAAAGATCTGACATTTCACAGGAACAAGAAGTGTCCACTATGTCCTAACAACCCTGCCACTTTTGAAGAAAAGGTTTCAGATATTCCCTAAGGCTGCTTCCAGGGCTTGCAAGGTTCTAGTCTCAAGTTCCTTCCTAAGGTATTATAAATATGCACGCGCGTGCGCCACGCGTGCACACACACTTTTAGGCCCCAAAATTAGTCATGAAGATAGCTGTGGTCACAAAGGGTAGAAAAACCTTTAATATACAAGCTGAGGCTTTCTCAGGGTTAGGTGTGAGACATCTCATGGAAATTGTAAACATGGGTCAGGACACTTATTTGTACTTTTGTGCTATAGACTAAAAGGATTAGTGAATTGCCTGTGTATATAAAACTTTTGTAGCTTCAAACCAAGAGATTTAGAGACAACCATATGTGTGTGTGTGTGTGTGTGTGTGTGTGTGTGTGTGTGTGTGTGTGTGTGCATATATCTGTATGTATATCATTGGTCTTAACCACCAGCAATACCACACACACACATCAATGGCCTTGGCCATGTAATATCTCCTTATTCCCTGGATTTAGAGAAAGCAATACTTTAGGTAGTAGACTAGGTTTCTTCCTGCAATGAGACATCATTGTGGGGTCAGAGATGTCAGCCACCTTATTACAGACTCGTACTTTAGTCTATCTCCTGAGTTTTCTGTCTGCATGGGAATAGACCCACCCTAGCCAGTGTCTCACTCAAACAGCATAACAATCTGTTTAACCTCTCTGGACTACAAGCTCTTCTCCTAACTCTCAGCGCTTACCACATTCCCTCTTTTTTTAAAATGCCAAATACTAACGCAAAGCAGGTCTCCATACTGCACATGCAGTGGCAGCTTCGTGGACTTAACCTTTGGGCAGCGGTCGACACGATTGACCTCTCCTTGATTCTTTTGTCTTAGTGTTCACTCTACATTCTCCCTCACATTTCTCACTGTCCACACTGAAGGGTTTGAAGGCACCCCCAGCCCTCTCTCACATATATTTAAAGACAATATGTCTCCTATCTTTAAATACTTAAAAAATCTGGCCAATCTCAATATTGCCTGGCCACTTCCAGCATTCCCTTGCTTTCCAGTCATGTATATACAGCTGCCTAATTGACTTCTTCACTTGAAATATTTAATAGGTGCCCAAAACTTCATTAACATGGAATACCGTATAGAAGAAACATAATGCTATCCATACGTGGAAATTAAAATTTTCAGTGGTCAAATCTTAAAAAACATTGTTAGTATTAACTATTTCACTCCGTATATAAAGCATCATTTTAGCATGGACTCACTATGAAATTGTTTCTGATATATTTCATCCTTTTTTTTTTTTTTGGTTTTTCGAGACAGGGTTTCTCTGTGTAGTTTTGCACCTTTCCTGGAACTCGCTCTGTAGCCCAGGCTGGCCTCGAACTCACAGAGATCCGCCTGGCTCTGCCTCCTGAGTGCTGGGATTAAAGGCGTGCGCCACCACTGCCTGGCCCTTTTTTTTTTTACAAGCCTCTTTGAAATGCAGTTTGTGATTTTTTTTCACTTACAGCACATCTCAATTCTGACTAGCCACATTTGGAGTAATGGAGTCCACCTGTGTGGACAGGGCAGGCTGGGACCTTAGCATTTCCATAGTTTCTCATTTGTTCCTTGTTTGGTTGTGATTGTCCCATCATCAGTTTCTCTTAATTGTTAACCTTTCCTCTAGAAGTAAGTTTGGAGGTACGAATTTTGAGAATTCAGCTGTGCTATGTTATTCCAGCACCTTTAGTGTTCCTTGAACTCAAAGCCTTTCTAGATTCAGCTGTTATTGCCAATGAGCAGGCTAGTTGGTGGGTCTCTCCTTATCCATTTAGACACTCTTCCACTGCAGCTGCCCCTCAGTATCCACAGGTAATTGGATCCAGGAACCCCGTTGGCTGTAGATGCTCAAGTAACTTTAACAAATGGGACAGTAACCAATCACTGTGGCATACGCTTGTAGTCTTGGCTACTAAACAGGAAGCTAAGACGGATTGCTTGAACCCAGGATTTTGAGGTCACCTTGGGCAACAGGAGACCACAATCCTAAAAGATGGAAAGAACATACGAGATTTATATTAAACCTGTGTATGTCCCCCATACTTTAACTATTCTCTAGGTTATTTAAAATACTAAATTCAATGATAAGATGTTAACATTGTTTTGTGAATAATACATTTCTCCTCTTAAGTGTTTGCCATATGCAGTTGGTTGGATCTGTGAATGCAGAACCCACAGGCACAGAGAGCTGACAATTTATCCTTCCCGCCAACACAGATACTGATACCATACACATAATGTGATGGGTGTTGGTTTCTTCATATCCACCTGAATTTTTAGGTATTGGATGGTATCTTATAACCTAGATGTGTTGAAAATAGCTGTGTCCTGGTTAGTTTTTTTTTTTTGTCAGCTTGACACATGATAGAATCACGTGAGAAGAGGTGACACAATTGAGAAAATGCCTCCATCAGATTGGTCTTTGGCAAGCCTGGAGGGCATTTTCACGGTTAATGATTCATGTGAGAGGGCCCAGCTCACAGGCGGTGAGCAGTGGGGGGGTGGGGTGGAGGTGGACCAGCCCTCAGCAGATGATCCTGGGACGGATAAGAAAGGAGGCTGAGCAAGTCCTAAGAAGCAAGCCAGTAAGCAGCTTTGCTTCATGGATTCTGCTTCAGTTCCTGCCTCCACTTCCTTTGCTGATGGATTTGTGATGTGGAAATGTAAACTAAATAAACGCCCCCCCCCCCCAGTTGCCTGTGGTCATGGTTTTTATCACAGCAATAGAAAGCCTAACTAAGATAACGTACATTATGTTTTTGTTCTCTGTGGTTGTTTTTATGTGGGTTTGGGATGAGAGGGAAAAAATGTCGAGCCACTAACTGTCACCAGGTCTCTCATAGTCTCTCCTACCGAATGTTCTTAATCCTTGAATGATGTGCTTGATAATAACATTGTGTAGAGTCAGGTGGTTTATATTTCTAGAAAGAACACAGGGAATTCATTATCTTCACTAATCATATAAAGTAGAGAAAAGATTGAAATTTACTGAAGAGAAAGGCGGAGGAGCAGATTGGGGGAAAGGGAGGTGGGGGAGGGACTGAGAGGAGAGGAGAGGAGGGAGGGGAAAAATGTAATCGGGTTGGGGAAAAATTAATCAATCAATCAATTAATTAATTAATTAA